TGATAGACTCAAAGACCTCAGCTATTAGGGTAGGAACACACTATTGAAATAACTGGAAAGCAGCCTTGAAGAAACAAGGTACAGACCAACATCACATACCATATACCAAGATAAGATCAAAATGGGTGTATGATATAGACATAAATGATAATATCTTAGCAAATTAGTGGAGAAGGGAAGAAATCACCTGTCAGATCTATGTGTAGGGGAAGAGTTGATGACCAAACAAGAGGTAGAGGTTTCATATGAGGCAAAAATAAGTTTTTATTATATAATTTGTTTTGAAAATTTTGTGCAAATAAAACAATGCAATTAAAATTAGAAGAAAAGCAGGAAACTGTGAAAAATCTTTATAGCAAGTTTCTCTGATAGGTTTCAATTCTAAAATTCATAGGAAACTGATTCAAATTTATAAGAATAAGAAGCATTTCTCAATTGAAAAGTGGTCAAAAATATGAATAGGCAGCTTTCAGAGGAAGAAATCTAAGCTGTCAATAGCCATATGAAAAAAAAATTATCTAAATCACTAATAATTAGAGAAATGCAAATTAAAACAACTCCAAGGTACCTCTTCACACCAATCAGATTGGCTAAGATAAAAAAGATGGAAAATGACAAATGCTGAAGGGGATGTGGAAAAAACAAGTGCACTAATGCATTGTTGAAGGAGCTGCAAACTAGTCCAACTATTCTGGAGAGCAATTTGGAGCTATGCCCAAAAGGCTATTAAATTATGCATATATTTTGTCCCAACAATACTGCTATTAGGTCAAAGAAAGAGAAAGAGGACCCATAGGTACAAAAATATTTATAGTAGTCCTTTTTGTGGTGGTAAAGAATTGTAAACTGAGGGGTTGCCTATCATTGAGAGAATGGTTAAATAAGTTATAGCATATGAATGTGATGGAATACTATTTTGCTGTTAGAAACAATGAAGGCTGGACTTTCAATGCCAAGATGATGGAATGAGGAAGACACCCTCTAAAGTCCTCCAAAATTCCCCTCCAAACAGCTAGAAAACAACCTCAGAATGTTCTAGGAGCAGGGAAGCAACTTACCTGCCCAGCAAGAAAGATCTGTGGAGTGGGAGGGAAGTGAGGTCCAAGAGCAGCAGCAGCAGCCAGCCTCACAGTTGGGGGCCTGTAGCAGGGGTCCAAGCCTGGGGCAATCCACTAGTGATGCCCCAACTTCCTGTAACCCATCAGAACCATAGGCAATTGAGCAGTCTGTGCAGCACAGCAAGGTGCCTTCCCAGTGACTCCACCGCCAGCACAAGCTGGCAACTAGGACTTGATTCCATTGCTGAGCAGTAGTGAAGCTCATACCATAGCAACCTAGCAGATAGGCCCCACCCCTGGAGCAGACCAGCAGCTAAACCCCATACCCAGGGAGTCCAACAGGGAGCCCTCTCCTCCCCCCAATACAAACCAGAAGGAAAGCCTACCTTCTAGAGAAAGCAAGTAGCTAAGCCCTGAAGCCCAGTGAAAGTCAGCAGTAAGACCTAGACCCCTAGCACAAAAAGCTTGGGACAGTGCAGGACCAGAGCCCAATTCTCACATAAAAACACCAAGTCATCAAAAAAAGGCAGAAAAAAATCAGCAAAAAAACAAAACAGAGAGAGAGAGAGAGAGAGAGAGAGAGAGAGAGAGAGAGAGAGAGCTTGACTATAGAAAGATACTACAGTGATAGGGAGGATCAAGGCATAGACTTAGAAGAGGACGATAATGTCAAAATGGCTACATATGAAGCCTCAAAGAAAAATGTAATTTGGTCTCAGGCCCAAAAAGAATTCCTGGAAGAGCTTAAAAAGGATTTAAAAAGTAAATTAGAGAAGTAGCAAGAAAATTGGGGAAAAGAAATGAGAACAATACAAGAGAATCATGAAAAAAAGAGTCAATAGCATGGGAAAAGTTATACAAAAATTTATGGAGTCAACTAACTCCCTAAAAAATAGAATTGGCCAAATGGAAAAGGAAATACAAAAGCTCACTGAAGAAAATAATTCCTTAAAAATTAGAATTGAACAAGTAGAAACTAATGACTCTGTGAGACATCAAGATACAATAAAACAAAATCAAAAAAGTAAAAACAAAGTAGAAGAAAATGTGAAATTTTTCATTGGAAAAACAATTGACCTAGAAAACAGATACAGGAAAGAATTGTTGAACTACCTGAAAGCCATGATCAAAAAAAAAAAGCTGAACATCTTTCAAGAAATCATCAAAGAAAACTGTCCTGATATATTAGAACCAGAGAGCAAAATAGAAATTAAAAGAATCCACCGATCACCGCCTGAAAGATATCTCAAAATGAAAACTCCCGGGAACGTCATAGCCAAATTCTAGAGCTCAAAGATCAAGGAAAAAGTATTGCAAGCAGCCAAAAAGAAACAATTCAAATATCATGGAGCCATAGTCAGGATTACACAGGATTTAGCAGCTTCCATATTAAAGAGCCAAAGGGCTTGGAATATAATATCCCTTGGAAGACAAAGGAGTTAGGATTACAACCAAGAATCATCTTCCCAGAAGGTGGTCTGGCTGTACCAGATTTCAAACTGCATTGTAGAGTGGTAATTATCAAAACAATCTGGTACTAGCTGCGAAATACAGTGGTAGATAAGTGGAATAGATTAGGTACAAATTACATTATATTAAATGACCCTAGTAATCTAGTATATGATAAACTGAAAGATCCAAGATTTTGGAACAAAAACTCATTATTTGACAAAAACTATCAGGAAAACTGGAAAACAATATGGCAGAAACTAGGTATAGAGCAACATCTCACACTGTATACCAAGATAAGGTCCAAATGGTTACATAATTTACACACAAAAGGTGATATCATAATCAAATTAAGAGAGCATGGAATAGTTTACCTGTCATATTTTAGGGGAAGAATTTAGGACCCAAGAAGATACAGAGAACATTACAAAAAATAAAATAGATAACTTTGATATATAAAATTAAAATGTTTTTGTACAAACAAAACCAATGCAACCAAAATTATAAGGAAAGCAGAAAACTGGGGGGAAATTGCAACAAATATCTCTGATAAAGGCCTCATTTCTCAAATATATAGAGAATTGAGTCAAATTTATAAAAATATAAGTCATTCTCCAATTGATTAATGGTCAAAAGATATGGACAGGCCACTTTCAGATGACTAAATTAAAGCTATCTATAGTCATATAAAAATGCTCTAAATCTCTATTGATTAGAGAAATGAAAATTAAAACAATTCTAAGGTACCACCTCATACCTATCAGAGTGGCTAATATGACAAAAAAGGAAAATGTTGGATGTCGAGGGCATGTGGAAAAACTGGGACACTAATGCACTATTGGTGGAATTACAAACTGATCCAACCATTCTGGAGAGCAATTTGGAACTATGCCCAAAGGGCTATAAAACCATGCGTACCCTATATTTCAGCAATACCACTGCTAAGTCTATATCCCAAAGACATCCAAAAAAAAGGGGAAAGGACCTATTTGTACAAAAATATATAACTCTTTTTATGGTGGCTAAGAATTGGAAATCAAAGGGATGCCCATCAGTTGCGGAGTGGCTAAACAAGCTGTGATGTATGATTGTAATGGAATGTTATTGTGCTATAAGAAATAACAAGCAGGATGATTTCAGAAAAACCTGGAAAGACTTGAATGAACTGATAACATAGTGAAGTGGACAGAACCAGGAGAATGTTAAACCCAGTAACAGCAATATTGTTCAATGAAGAATTGTGAGTGACTTGGCTATTCTCAACAATATTATGATCCAGGACAATCCCAAAGAATTAATGATGAAGCATTCTATCTGCCTCCAGAGAAAGAATTGATATTGCTTGAATACAGAGTGAAGAAAGCTATTTTCATTTTTCTTTACTTTTACTTGAGTCTTCTTGTACCATGACTTATATAGAAATGTTTTACATAATTGCACACATATAAACTATGTCTGATTGCTTACCATCTCAAGGAGGGAGGGAGGTAGGGAAGGGAGTAAGGGAAGGATAGAATTTGGAACTTAAAACTTTTAATGAAAATGTTAAAAAGTTTAAAAAAAATGTTGAAAGAAATAGTTTCGAAAAAATCTGGGAAATCTTGTATGAACTGATAGCAAGTGAAGAGAAGCAGGAGAACAATCTGAATAGTAACAGCAATACTGTAAATTTAATCAACTGTGAAATTCTTAGTAACTCTTATTGACATAATGACCCACCACAATTCCAGAGGACTCATAATGAAACATACTATCCATCTCCAGAGAGAGAACTGATGAACTCAGTCAAAATCGAGGATTTTTTTTTCTCTTGTTCTTTACCTCTTTTTTTTCTTTTTAACATAGCTAATCTGGAAATTTGTCTTGCCTCTTTATGGGTGAGAAATGAGGGAGAGAATTTGGAACTTAAAAAAAGAAATAATGAAGTGTCTGTGCTTTAAAAAAAAAAGAAAGATACATTTTACTTAACCTAAAGTTGCTTACAATCTAGGAAAGGAATTAAAATAAACGTAGTTAAAGACATATTTTGAATCTCTTAAGAAAGATACCAAGCGCAATGGGACTTAGAAGGAAGGAAAGCTATCCTCCAGCTTCTATGAATAGCCATTCCTCTTTGTATAAAGTCCTGTATCTTTCCTGTACCAAATTTTATATATGATGAAGATCCTGAAGCTTATTATTTATGGTGCCATATTGGAAGTTGTATATTTTTCTTTTCCTTTTTTTTTAAACTTTTTGGTAAAGCAATTGGGGTTAAGTGATTTGCTCAGGGTCATACAGCTAGTAAGTGTCAAGTGTCTGAGGCCAGATTTGAACTCAGGTCCTCCTGACTCCAAGGCCAGAACTCTATCCACTGTGCCACCTGGCTGCCCTTTTATAAATTTTTCTTAAAATTACCTCAGTTAAATTTCAGAAAATACTTTCTTCTGACATGTCCCTACTTTCTCCACCCATCCCAGTATGTCAGGATTTGGTAAGACAGACAATGCTTACCTGATTCATGTCATTCAGGTTTGAATTCTCATTTACTTATTAATTATAACCAGCAGATTCCTAGAGTGGCTTCTGTATGATAAAGAACAACATCAAGGCTGTCTTAATACTGCCTTCAGTTTTTGTGTGCCAGGAGAAAAAAAAAAAGGAAAGGCAGAAAAGAGACCACTGGTCTGGGAGTTAATAGCAGGGGTTCTAATCCCAACTCTGCCCTTTGCTAGTTATGTGAATCTGACGCTGCTTTACTCCTCTGAGACTCATTTTGCCAACCGCTAAGGTCCCTTTCCATTCTAATATTCTATGTTCTAACATTCCATGTTCTTTTTGGGCTATTTTCTGTGATTCCTTCCAGCTCTAGGATTCCGTGATTCTAAGCCATTTCATCATTAACCACAGGAAAGTACAGTTTGAAGGGAGAGCCTGCCAGAAAGAGTTCAGAAAATGTGTTCCAAATTTTGATATAAATGATTTTAAGTTAATTGATTTTAGGTTTCTAATTATTTTATTATCCATTGGCACTGAGCCCTTCAATTAGCTCAGATAACCCAAAATAGGCTGTGATCTTTATGCATGCCACAGGAATAAGAGGAGGGTTAGTGAGGCCATTTATTAAAAGGTTGCCCTCCTGTTGAGACAGTGCTGGATACGTGTAAGACATTATTATCTTTGGGACTTCTCTTTGTCTCACTGTCTAGACTCTAGATCATATTCTTGTCACTGTTATGGGTTCCAGTGCCTGTCTTCTTACCACTGCCTTGCCTGTGTGCTGCCTCACTGAATTCATAGAATTAGAATCAAGAAAGAATGGGCAGAGGGAGGAGCTACCACTTTTATCCATTTGGAAGACTGCCCCCCACATTCTATGCTGTATTCTTTCATCATCCTGCTGATTCATTTCCCAAAGTTATATGAAAATTTCATCCTGGGACTGGAAGTGGGGGTTGTAATGGTCCTATTAATGGGTTTGATAGTAATCTCAGCATCTTAGCCACTGTCTCATTTAGAAGCAGGGATGACCATAGGCCTCTCACCTTTTTTCTGGATTCTGGAATTGTAATAACATTGATTTTATCATTGCTCTCGTGTTGTTTTTGTTTTCTTTTGCTTTTTGGTGGGGCAATCAGGGTTAAGTGACTTGCCCAGGGTCACACAGCTAGTAAGTGTCAAGTGTCTGAGGCTGGATTTGAGCTCAGGTCCTCCTGACTCCAAGGCCAGAGCTCTATCTATCCACTGCATCACCTAGCTACCCCAATGATTCTTATTTTGGTTTTTGTTGTGCTTTTTGTCATTGCTGTAGGAAAGAGCTGGACCAAGTATCCCTCCCTCCCCTGGAGTATCTCCACTCACCATCTCTGTGAGTGACTTTCCAAATCAAAGTCCCTCTTCTTGGCCATTAGACCCTCTTACTCTATTAGAATGCAAGCACCTTGATGGGGAGGATCTGTCTCATTTTTTTTTTCATTTATGTCCCCAGTGCTTAAGGGAGTGTGCTTGGGACACAATGAGCAGTTAATAAATGCTTTTTCATTCATTCATTCCCTGGAAAAAGTATAAGGAAAAAAGGATTTGAATAATTCTGTGTTCTCTTTGTTGTTTGCTGCATTGTAACCTTGGTCTCTAGAGTAGATCTATCCTTTCCTTGTTATTCTTCCTGATCTTAATAGAGTAAAAAGATCCTTTTATTTGCTTAGGGTTTTTAGAAGATTTAGTTCATTTCAAGCTTTAAGTATTTAAAGACAATCCCAGAACCCTCTTTTCTCTCTTACCTTTGCTCTTCTCTTTCTTTGAGTGTTTGCAGTATACTGTAGTGGAAACAGCCCTGAAGTTGCTGTCGGAAGACCTGGGTTTGAATCCTCTTTCTGTTATCTTCTACTTGTGTGACTTACTTTGGCTTTTTATTTCTCCACCTGTAGAAGTAGGAGTATGGACTAGATGATTTTATGATCAGTTTGAGCTTTAGATACTTTTAGCTTCTATATATTTCTCTTATAACTTCAAATATTTCCTTAGCACCTTTCATTCCATCCATTCCTTTTTCTTATACCCTCTTTCTTTTGATTCTCAGTCCTCCTGAAAACAAAACAAAACAAACGAAACAAAAACCATACATACCTCTAATCTAGCTCCTCGAGACTAGAGACTATTTCTTTCATTCTTTTTTTCCAACAATAACAATAATAGGTCTTTCTGTCCTACTTCATATGTAGGAATACATGAAACCTACAACTGGAAGAAACTTTTTTAGGTTATCCAAATCAGCCTCCTTATTCAAAAGATGAGGAATGCTAGGCTTAGAGTCAAGACCATATGAATTCGAATCATGCATCAGACACATATTAACTGTGTGGTCCTGTGCAAGTCACCTAATCTCTTTGGGCCTCCTTTCCCTCATCTATAAAATGAAGGAGGTGGACTCTATGGCCTTTAAAATCCTTAAGAGGCAGCTGGTGGCACAGTGGATAAAATCCTAGGCCTGGAGTCAGAGAAACATGAGTTCAAATCCAGCCTCACATTCTTACTAGCTGTTGACCTTGGTCACCTCACTTAACCTGTCTGTAAAGGGTTATTGTGAGGATCAAATTAAATATTTGTAAAGTACTCTTAACACAGTGCCTGTCATATAGCAGGTGCTATATAAATGCATATCCCCTTTTCTTATCCCCTTAATCTTTAGATCTTCTGAAACTAAGATGAAGAGAATTTAAAGTACTTTCCTGAAGTTACATAGTAAAGATCCAAACGGGGACTTGAACTCACATCTTTGGGATGTAACTTCAGCATCCCTTCCACAGGCTACTTTGTTTTCAAAGGGCTTTCCATGTCCTCTGTTTCATGTGAGCATCTTCTTCCCCTGTGTGTTGCCCTACCCCAACATATATACATAGAGGACAATGCTACACACAAAGTGAGCTGTCAATAGATTTTTGTTGATGTTATGATTGATTTGCCCTGTAAGTCTTATTTCAGTTGTAGAAACTAAGTTCTTCTCAGTAATCATATACAGAACCAAATACTTGGCTTTAAGGTGAATGTGCAACCAAGCCAAGGAAGCAGGCATGGGGGAGAGCAGATCTCCCCATCAGTTGTTGCTAACTCCAGTTGTTTAAATTGTGTGTTGGCGGGGAAGGGGGGGAGTTCTTAGGATATAGCACTAGCAAGGGTCTTTGCAGATGATCTAATCCAGTCTCCTCATTTTAGAAATGAGGAAACTGAGACCTACAGGTATTAAGTGACTTGCTGAAGGTCACAGGAATAGTAACAGAGTTGAGATAAAAACCCATGTCTTATGATACCAAGCCTACTTCTCTTTCCACTATGCCATGCCCATGGTTATTATGAGAATCATTTGATATCCCCAAATGGCTGCAAATGCCACCTTGGGAGTGGAAGCTGAGGATCCTCAGAAGAGCTGTTTAGTAAAGAGAATCCCCCAGAATTTTCAGAGAGTCCACAAACTCAGGGGGTCTTGTCCAGCTTACAACCTCAATCTACTTTGTCTGCGGTAATGGTACATGAAAAATAACTTGACTCCCCACTTTTTTCGAAGAGCTGTTATCAGTTGCTTTGCTGGGAACTTTCCATAATTCTTCAGAAACTGCCTTTCCAGCAGTTTGGGGATATTTTTTTCCCTTCTGGCTATATGAATTATCAAACTTTTGGTCAACTTTTGGCCTATATTCTTTCTGTAAATAGAATTTTTATAAATGAAGTGGCCCATGTGTGTCTTTAATTTGTACTTCATAAGGCAATTATTATACATTAAATAAATACCGTCTGACTGTTTAAAAAAAACATGTTGGAGGGTTAATTGTTGTGTAATAAGATATGTCTCTATTACATGGTTTCTTATCTCAGTGGTCCTTCCTTGGTCCTTGGCAGCTAGGTGGTATGGTGAGTGGATAGAGAGCATTGGGCCTGAAGTCAGGGAAACCTGAGTTCAAATCTAGCCTCAGATGCTTATGAGATGTGTGACCCTGGGCAAGTCACTTAACCTCTATTTGCCTCAATTTCTTCATCTTTAAAGTGGGGATAATTATAACACCTATCTCACAGTGTTGTTGTGAGGATCATAAAATTCTTGTCACAGTGCCTGGCACATAGTAAGTAATACATAAAAGTCAGCTATTATATAGTTTATTATCCTTTTATGGCAGGAGCTAAGAGCTGCAATGCACTCTCTGCCTTCCTCCAGGAATATTTATGAATTTTACAGAGTGTTGGAGGGCTGATCATCATTACTGACTGAGGAAAGCAGAATCAGCTGTGTTTAATCCCTTTACCCCCACTCCAGAGCTGAGGGCAAAGCTGCCATTCTCCAACCTCTTGCACCTGCCTATACTTATTTTCTGTTTGTTAGATAGGAAAGGAAAGTTAACACCATGGGATGAACGGCAGCAAGTTTATTTTAAGACCTGTTTGGAGCCTGCTCCCAACCCCCCTCACTGCCCACTACAGGGTCCCAGCTGCAGTAGCCCTGACCAGAAACCTCTGGGAAGTGTTATTTATTCCAACTTAAGCCAAAATAACCTCCTCACCCTGCTCCTGGAGTTAAGAGATTGAGATGCAGGTGGGAGGGCTAGGACTAATCTTTATTGCCCAGAGTTTGTTTCTGGGTGTTAGAAGGCATCCAGAACCCTGGCTAGGGACAAATAAGTTCTAGATTTGATTTAAGCTCTGTCATTAACTAGCCAAGGAAACATTCAGATTATTCATGGGATCATAGGATTTAAAGCTGGAAAGAACTTTAGACGTTAGTTATTTCATCCCTCTGCTTCAGACTCACCATCTTGTTAGCTATTGTTTGTTACCACCAGTGATCTTTGGAGTGTCATGAAGAATGGGGAAGGTGACACAGAACTGAAAGAGTTCAAATGTTGAAATTATCCACAAAACAGGGGGAGTGAGAAAGAGGAGAGAGACTGAGAGGCAGAAACAGAGAAAAAGAGAGAGAGAGAGACAGGGAGAGACAGATAAGAGAAAGACAATGAAAGATACGGAGAGAGATAGAAAGAGAGAGAGATGAAGAGAACAGGAGAAAGGGAGTGCAGAGAGACAGATAGATGGAGAAAGAGGGGGGAGAGACAGTAAGAGAGACAGAAATAACAGAGATAAAAACAGGAAGATATGGAGAAACAGACGAGGCAACAGAGAGACAGAAGGATGGGGAGAGAGACAGAGAGACAGACAGAAATAGACAGAGAATGAAAAAGGCGCAGAGTGATAGAAAGAGATAGAGAAAGGGGACAAGACAGTAAAAGA